GAACAATCTCTAGCTCATCATTAAATGCATTATTGCAATTAATATGTTCATCATATTAAACTATGAGCTCTTCAAGGGCAAAGGTTACTTTATTTATCTATCTTCAGAACCATGTGCAGAGTAGAACACTCTGTGAATATCCATAAAATACTTCTGAAATAAACTAAAATAGGAATATACACAAATCCCTCATGATCACTGATGGTTGCTGCTTGGACAAAAACTAACTGTGGGGTCAGAATATCTAGAAACTGAGACATGAAATTATCTACACGACTGTGCACAACTCCACTCTTCCTTGTCAGCTGTCACGGCTTTCCTTCACATACTTAGAAACACTATGGCATTTCAGTAATTCTTTTCCAGCTCAAATAAAAAACTATTGGGTATCTCATTTGTGAGAGGCACTGAGAAGGATGAGAGTGGAAGACAGTCTCGTTCATTTTATCAGACCGGAGGTTTACTGAATGTTATAACTGGAGTAGATACGAAGTTCAATTAAAACATTAAATTATATACATGGCCATTATGAAAGTCTTCATGTGAAGTGGTTAAGAAAAAGAAGAATGTGAAGTGGTTAAGAAAAAGAAGACTGTTTCAAGTAGAGAAAACAGTGTGAGCAAAGCCAGGGAATGTGAAAGGCACCTGGTGTATTCAAGCACGACCATGTAGCTTAACATGGCTTCAGAAAAGGGGACAGAGATGGAGGGACGGGGTGACCGTATGCAAAGGACCTGAATGTCAAGCTACGAAATGTGGGCCTTGTCCTGAAAGCAATGAAGAGTTTTTAGAACTTTGTGATTTAATTAATCATTCTGGATTCACAGGGAGCAATGGCCTGGGAAGAGTAAGAGGACCAGTTAGGAAGCTATTCCATTGTGAGCCAAGAGAAAAATCTATTTTGGTATAGGCGGGCGATCTTGTAGTTTATCACCCAATAAAAGACACTACCGAGAGTAGAAATAGGCGCTCTTAATTATAACAACATTTGTAAATAGAGACAATACTCATAAACTGAGACTGTCCTGGGCAAAGGGAGATTTTTGGGCACCCTAATTTAGTGAAGTAGACGTCTCTAACCCAAGCCACATGTTCTGGTGGTTTTTTTCAGTTAATAGAGTTCAATAAATATTTCTATATAGTCCAACTAGCTTATCACAGATTGATCAGGAAAAATTTCTGAGGTCAGAAATTAAATTTCTTATCAGATTTTTCAAAAATGCTTATTACACAAAAGGATGACGCTAATTGCCCCCATCTACCTAATACATGTGCTACAGCTAAACATAAAAACCTATGTATAAGCTCACCCAGAGTGGTACCCAGAAATGATGGGTATGTAATAGGTACTTTACACAGTATAAACCCTCAGGTACCACAGACACAAAGAGGGTTTGTTTGTTTTTTTTTAATTCTCCTTTGCTGGGTTTGGAGGTAACTTTATGACTAGAACAGTAAACATCTCGCCCACAGTACTAAATTCACACCCATGGTACAGCTTGCTTGTCTTACCAGGACTCAGTCTGGTACAATTAGATAAAGGTTGTGAACACACTGAAAATATAATCATCGCAAACCGATGTCAGATTATAGCGTTTGCTCTTATTTTCTTAAATGGCTCACTTTCCACTGTATACCTTCCCATTATTTTTTATTCCCTTGTGTTAGTCAAATCTACTATCTTGAGTTTGAGGTTACGGTAAGTATATCTTCCATTAAAGATAAAAAAACAAGATAAAGTATCCTTTTGTTTTATCACAAAAATAAAATAACATGTATTCAGTTCAACATTAGTTTCTTTGTTACAATGAAAAAGAGTAACTATGAGAGAATGGTCTCATCAGTCACTTCTCATTTCAGTACGACAAAGAGATTATCGTCATCAACACAGCAGTGGTGTGTTCCAATAACTCAAGAAATGGAATATTCGATTTGCCAATAATTCCTGGAGAAGAATTGGAAGTCATCGATACCACGGACCAAAACCTAGTGATATGCCGGAACTCCAAAGGCAAATGTACGTTTACTGGTTTACTGCCCGTAAAATTCTGGTCATGTAAACAAACCTTAAAGCATTGCCTCTATGACTTTCAAATTAATGGGCGGCATCTGTGGCTCAGAGGAGTAGGGCGCAGGCCCCATATGCCGGAGGTGGCGGGTTCAAACCTAGCCCTGGCCAAAAACAAAACAAAACAAACAAACAAAAAAACAGATTAGTGACAGCTGTTTTTGTTTCTCTAGATGGATATGTGCTCATTGAACATCTGCAGTTCAAGTAAGTAGTTTTATACTTTTAACCGTGAGTTGTAAATACTCAATGCACTGTTGTGTATGTTAGTCTCAAGGGAAGACTACTGAATTTATGGAAATTCAGGAAAAGTTTTAAAAATCAGATACGCAGTGCCTCATTCCATAAGGATTACGCTGAAAGAGCCACGGGATGGTGTCTCCTGAGTATGTCCTCAAAATTCTCCACAGAGCATTATAGATATTTTAAAGGAACGTCGAAATATGAAACGAGATGAGAAGTTCCCTAGGGGTCTCCTCCTTGCTGGTCCACTGCCCTCTATTTCACACTGTCTGTCTGTTTTTCTTTTTTCTCAGGCATCAAAGTTGGTCACCTTAGGAAGATCATACGGTGTGGGCTGCCCACGGGAGAACTCATCCTAAACCCTTAGTCCTGCCTCAGATCAGTTTCAGTTTACAGGTCAAACTTAGAGGGCGGAGTCAGTGGTGACGTCCATCCAGAACTTACAAGGGAGAAATGAAAACGAATTCCCAACATTTAGAGGGTGGTTTTGCTCCTAAAACGTTGTCTCTCAGCGTCTATCTCTCAGTGTCCATCTCTCAGTGTCCATTTCAGCTGGAGAGACTGTGAGAGGGAGTGCGGCCGTGCTGGAGCACCTGCTCAATGAGCTGTCTCCAGAGTTAGACGTCGGGCCTCATGGCACCCAGTCACTCGTGCAGATGGCAGTTTGCTTCTAATATTAGCACACGAGCGTTTGTAATTTCTAGAAGTGCATTTGAATTTGGTTAATTTAATTCTGAACAATAAACAGTGTAACCAAGATCTTTAAAGTCCAGTCTTAAAATAATTATGGCTCAGCCCTAAAAAAAAAAAAGATAAAGTATCCTTTTGTTTTATCACAAAAATGAAATAACATGTATTCTGTTCAACATTAGTTTCTTTCGTAGTTTGCTGAAAAATAATTTATTTTTAAATTCACCTACATCACTTATTTTGTGTTAAGTATAAAAATATGCTGTATCATTTTCGAAAAAAATCCTGTTGCCCAAAATAAGGAAAATTATTATTTTGTTTGTGTCCAAATACCTACTCAAACATATTCATATGTACTTTCATAGGTACTTTTCATATAAATAAAAGTAAATAAAAATTTTGAAGCTGAGCTGTAACCTTGATTTTAGGTGTAATTTCTGCGTGACCTGTTGAAAGGTCCGTTTCCCACCGACATGAGGAGGGGCTGGAGCACTTTCTGGACTTGGCAGCGGCCCACCCACAGGTGCTCACCAGTGGGACGCCAAAGTAACTCAGCAAGTTTCTTTGGTTCTAGTTACGTTTGGGGTTTGAAACTAACCATCTTTACAATGTCACTACGTTAACAACGTGTTTTCTTGGACTGTTATCTTGAAAAAGGATTTTTGCGAAGCAATTCATTTATCAAAGCAAAAAAATTAAAAACAGAAAAAAAAATAACATCTGGTTTTTAAAATGGTATGCACTGCATGTCAATGAGAGAAATAAATTCTATATTGACATCAAACTGTTACAATTCCTTAACTGGCTTTTTTAGCATTGAAAACTGAAGACTGTCACTCAGTTCTTTAAGCTCAGCAATTCTAGCCTTCAAGAATGTGATAGCATGTGTTGCTGGGGCCTCATCCTTTATACTTTGAGACTATTTTTTAAGCTTCTAAATTCTTTTATCTTCTTTTTCATGTTCCAAATGGCACTGAGCAATAAAGGCCCAGCTTATTCTAAAAAGAGAAATCAAAGTATTCATGAGAGTTCAGAGTTTAGAGAAGGGTAAAGAGATTGCTGTATAATTAAACAAGATATGAATGGAATGGCTAGAGGGTTATGACAGGTTTTACAGAGAAAGTGACACTGTGGCTTAGTCTTTAAATATGTTTGTTAGACAGGCGCAGAGATGGGCTATGAAGAATCGTAAGTCAACGGAGTATAGCAGGCCTGGTGGGAAGGGGAAGACGCGTCTGGAACAGTGTGAAGTTGGGGCCGCAAAGCAACACAGTTCCCTTGTACTTTCCCCTGAGGGTAAGGAGCCAGTTGAGAGTTAAGCAGGAAGGAAATGCAGATACTTAGGGGGGAAAAACAATCACAGCAATATGGGGGCGGTGCCTGTGGCTCAGTGGGTAGGGCGCCGGCCCCATATACCAAGGGTGGTAACTTCAAACCCAGCCCCAGCCAAACTGCAACAAAAAGATAGCCAGGCATTCTGGCAGGCGCCTGTGGTCCCAGCTACTCGGGAGGCTGAGGCAAGAGAATCACCCAAGCCCAGGAGTTGGAGGTTGCTGTGAGCTGTGAGCTGTGTGATGCCACCGCCCTCTACCAAGGGCGATCAAGAGGGACTCTATCTCTACAAAAAAAAAAAAAAAAAATCACAGCAATATGGATAACAGAGGAGAGACTAACTGCTTTTATAATACTCTAGGCAAGGGGGAATTAGGCCTTAATTTAAGACGGCAGCAATAGAAGTACAGCAGACCCTCTGTAAGGTGACTGCCCCAGGGGTCAACACAAGGAAGGGAGCTCAGCCCACTGTACTGATACCCCCCGTGGGGCATGTCTGCTCTGTGAAAATTAGGTCAACCTACGGAGGTGTCCAGGCAGTGAGCTGGTCAACTAGGGAGGCTCTGCTGTATATGCACATAGCACAGACGTCCCATTAGAGATGACAGGGGATTAGGAAATGGTTCGGAGACTTCTTTTTTGGGAAATGAGATTAAGTCAGGTACTGAAGATGGGGAATATAATTCTGCCTGGACACTCTGAATGAACCTTACCCCACAGTGAGAGGCGATATGGGAAGTGCAGCCCTCTCCTGCCCTCTGGGGCAAAGGCTGTTACACTAGACTTTGCAGAAGATGTGGGTAAGACAGACCTGTGGGCAAGGAGGTGAGTAAGACCATTTACGTTGATGCTGAACAGAAACTTTCCACGCAGTAATCCTGTCCAGTAGAAGGCTGAATCCTAAGCCATGTCACTCCGGCCATTTCCTCCAAGCCATTTTAAACGAGTGGCAGTCGGACTAAATCTAGATGGAGACAGATTTGCCCCTGTATTTCCTATCTCATCACGAGACTTCTTGTTCTAATTCAATGACACCGCGCTTTGCTACTTAATTTCCTCTGTGGTAAAACAGAGCCAGTAACATCATCTGTGGTAAAACAGAGCCAGTAACATCATCTTGTCTACTTCACAGGTTTGTTGCCATGCTGTGATATAATAATACAGTGTTTAAAATCCTTAATAAACGATACAGTATAAGTGGTGTTATTTTTGTACCTGGCCTTTTCTGAAGCTGGAAGATGCTGAAAACCAAAATACATTTTCGGCTGGGCACAGGAGCGCACCGCTGGAACCCTTCCACTTTGGGAGGCAGAGCGGGAGGACTGCTTGAAGCCAGGAGTTCTAAGATCAGCCCGAGCAACACGGCCACACCTTGTCTCTACAAAAAAAACAGAAAGATGAGGTGGGCGCGATGGCACACACCTGTGGTCCCAGCTATTCCAGAGGCGGAGGCAGGACGGCTTGACCCTGGGCCTCTGAGGTTGCGATGAGCTCTGAGGACAGCACTGCACTCCAGTCCCAGCAACAGAGGGAGACACTGTTAACAGAACAAAAACAAACCAAGAAACAAAAATAAATGAATTTACATTAAAAGTATTTTAAAAATTCAAATCTTAAGACTTGAAAGACTAGTTGCAAGATGACAAATTTATCTTACACAGACACAGAAAAATGTTTAGTGTTAAAACCTATTAAATATATTTTAAAAGTACTAGGGGTATCGAACCCTGGTTGGATCACACACTGAACAAATAAAGAGCTGGTTGGACCCCATGTTAAGTATGCAAACACTAACAAAAGCTGATTAGCCAAAAAAAAAAAAAAAAGTCCCTACATACTTCTCACTATATAAGCAAAAAGTGAAAAGTGTTCAGCATATGGCCTGTAAGCTCTAGGATGAACACATCTGGTCAAACTATTTGGTGTAATCTAATATAAACTAGTACCTAATTACTTTTATTTAAAAGCTATATTGTATTGATTAATAGTAATTACTTTTTAATGTATTCTAGCCGTAGTTCATGCGGTTATATTCTGTTTTACTGAATTCAGCCACATTTTCCTCCACTGAAGTGTTCAAACTAAATCTGGAAGGGTTTTTTAAGTAGAAACACTGTAACTAAGTCTTCAGTGACGTTCCCAGCAGATGTGATCTGGGTCTTAGAAACATTAGCAGAAAGAATCAAAGGAAAGGCTGAGTTCCTATTTGTTTTTAATTTTATATAAAAAGATAGCAAAGATAACACCAGCCTGTCAGACAAAAGGCACCACAAAGAGGCCAACACTGGCCCACTCATAAATTCATTTATTTGTAGGTCTGGCCCCCAGCAATCTTTTTTTCTTTTTTTTTTGAGACAGAGTCTCACAATGTCACCCTAGATAGAGTGCCGTGGCATCACAGCTCACAGCAACCTCAAACTCTTGGGCCTAAGTGATTGATTCTCTTGACTCGGCCTCCCAAGTAGCTGGGACCACAGGCTCCCGCCGCAACACCTGACTATTTTTTCTGTTGCAGTTTTCATTGTTGGTTAGCTGGCCCAGGCCGGGTTTGAACCCATCAGCCTCAGGGCATATGGCCAGTGCATAACCACTGTGCTGTGGGCGCCAAGCCAGGCCCCCAGCAATCTTAATGTGTCCCAATAGAACCTTCTCCTCTCCCTCCCAAGTATGTCTGTGATACCTGTAGTCTTCCACGATGGCTCCGCATCCTTTGTGATCAGGCCCTTTCCTGCAAATCTTCAGAACTTTTCTAAAGTATATTCTAGGGGGGACGTACTAGAAATGAAGAGAAAAACATTACGACAAACAGTAAGAAGTGGCTGCGTCTGGATAACAGGGGATGTTTCTCAGCTTCTTCAAACTTCCTGTACATTTCAAATTTCCCACAAGAAGCGTCTACTACTTGTGGAATTTAGGAAATAAAGGGAAAGCATTTCCACTGATACAAAGTCATGCTTCAAAGTTTAGAGAAAGAAAATAGAAATTTTCACTTATATATCCTGACTTCTAGGTTCACATTTTTCTTTCTTTTTACTGAGGGCTACAGTACAGTAACTTTTCAAAAAGTACATTATCCAGGTGGGCCCAACTTATTCGCATAGGCCCTTAAAATTGGAAGAGGAAGGCTGAGACTCAGCCGACCAGTCAGTTGCATGTGGTGGAAGAGAAGGGGGCATCGGAAGCAGGAGCTCCTGCTGCTGGCTGTGAAGCTGCAGGGAGCCATGGGTCAGGGGATGCTTCCGGAGGAAACCGTCCCTGGAATCATCTGGGAAGGAACCAGGGACCTCAGAGCTACAGCAGCTTGGAATTAAGTTCTGCCAACAATTTTCCCGAGCCTGGCAGCATAATCTCCCTCTGAGCTCAGCCCCTTTGGTTTTCAGCCTGAGTGACTTGAAGCAGAGACACCACTAAGCCCACGGGATTGCTGATGCACCTACGGGTGAGAGAACGAATTTCCGTGAAGTTTATAGTAATTTGTTACAGCAACAATAGGAAACTAATACAGTGACTGAAGTCAGAATCTGTAACGTACAAGAAAGGGAGGCAGAAATGAAGAACAGATGGCGAGAAACGTCCAGCGAGTTCCAGGCAATGGTTCCCTGTAACGACTTTCTCTGTAACTACTGGTTGACATGCAGAATTTCCGCTTAATGACCGAACAGAAACAAGGAATGGCTTTCAAATTAACCAGAGACTTTAATGTGATTCTGTGGAGAACGCTTACAAGCAGTCAGACTGCTCTGCTCGTCTGTGGGTGCCGCCTTTGAGTTTCAAACAGTGCACACGTGAATCGGGGGTGATCAGAGGACCTGTAATCGGAAACGCCGTGGGATCCACTAAGACCTCAGTTCCGTACGACGGCTGGGGGGCGAACCCTCCCTACTGCTCACCTACCACTCAGAAAAAACCCACAACAAACAAAACTGAAATTTAAACCTATGGTTATTTTTTATACAAAAGTCCTGGAGGTCCTTTTTTGTTTTTGTTTTTTTACTGAAACCAACTATAAAAAGTGGTCCCAATTTCAAGTTTAAAAAATTTTAAATAGACAGCTAATAAAATGCTCCAATGGGTTCATGTATCAGGAATCTTAAGGGTTTCTTTTTTTCTTTTTCAAAGATGGGCTAAGAATGAATGAATATGGGATTTTTTTTTTTTTTTGCAGTCTTTTGGCCGGGACCAGGTTTGAACCTGCCACCTCCGGTATATGGAGCCAGCGCCCTACTCCTTGAGCCACAGGCGCTGCCCAATATGGGATATTTTTGGAAAAACTGAGTGATTCCTAGCTGATGGATCCTACGTCATCTTATGACTGTCGTGAACAAATCCCCACAGCTGTTCACTTTCAGTTTTACTTGTTGCACAGAGAGTCCACACTGTATAATAGTTAAGCATACGCGATAAAGAATACAACCATTTCTCCTAAAACACCACCAAGACTCTAAGAGTTCACAGTTCTAACACAACTTTACATTAAACATTCAAACCATGGTTGTACAATCATAGATGTTTGTGACTCGTCTTTAGAGAAAGATGTATTTTGGTACATTAAGGCAGCTTCAGCCAACATTTTAAGAAGTTCTGAATACAGTTTGATATTATTTTCAAGAAATTTAAAATGTTGCTTAAAACAAGAACACCATAACTTACGAAACTGAGGTCTTAAACATTTTAACTTACTGTGTTCTCAGCACATAAAACTTACATAAAAATCAAGGTACTCATCCTATCAGTATTATCAAAGATCATCATCAATTAAAAAAATGAAGGGGGTTACATTAAATATGGGGATATAAACCCTGTTTTTCAGCCAGGGCCTTCCAATAGTTTCTCACACCCATCTGTGAGGTAGGTTATTATCTACATTTTATAAACGAGAAAATTATATGAGGTCATACGACGTGCTGCTGTTGAGATTCCAGGTTAAGTTCTGTTCTTCACTCCCACTTCAGCTTTCCTTTACAGATTTTTAAAGGTTAAACATAAAGACGGCTACTCCCTGCACTCACTTTAAAAGCACAAGAAGGTAGCCGAATGTTTACCAAGGTGACGTAAAAAGTGCAACAGGTTGAAATAAATAGAAAGATGCGTCTAACAAACCACTTCTGACGAAGGTAGTGTGAGGCTGGCCAGAGGAACTTAGAAACTGGCAGAAACAAACAAGGCAATCGTGTGTGGAGGGCAGAGCTCAGGAAAAGGGGACGGGATCAGAAAAAAGAAAATAGGGTTTCAACACATTTGACTGTTACTGTTCCTGTAATTTGGGAGAAGGCACAATTTAGTGTTTTTTTGTTTTTGAACATTTTAGAACAGTGGATCTATTTCCTTTTTCCGTTTTTGGGAAATGTTATCTGTCTGGGAAAAAGGGCAGATGGGGTAACAAAACTTACGTAAAGGGGGGTTTTACTTGTGCAAAACGCATGCTTCAATTAGCAGGGAAAATGAGCCCTGCTATTCTCCTCCGCTACAATGTTTGTCTCTCCTTGAAATGTTAAATCAACACAAAGCAGCAAGCCTCAAATGAAAGGAAAAAAAATCATACTGTATGAACCTTGTCAAAATGCTACAGAGAGTCCACAAAGTTTTCCTGGGATGGTATTTTATAAATAAATACTTAACTCTTTATCCTGGAAAGAATGTTCTACTCTAAGTTCTCCTTAATGACACTTTAAATGTAATTAAAATTTACCTACCCTGCTTTGTCCAGATAATCATGAGCTACTTCCTCCAAGTCTAAATTGCTTGAGATAAAAACTACAGTTACCAAAAGTCACACGTACAGTCCAGGCTACAAAATTGGCCTTGCTATATAAGGACAGTAGTAGATATGAAACCGCTCCCAGTATTAATACAGACCCACAATCTGATAACGCTTCTAGACTAAGGGGACCAGATTTTAACATTGGTAAAGCGGGACACCATTGACAGGGGGCGGGGGCGGCGCGGGGCAGCGCGGGGCCTGACAACAATGCAAACTTTGATAAGCCGTTCTCGATAATCACTTCTCAACAATTACTTGTTATTATTACAGTTCAACATTATAAAATTAACAAAAGTAATATAAAACTCATATCCTGGCAAAATAGCCACATGGCAGCCGAAAACCGTATATTCCCTTCCTGTTCTCCTGCCTGTTAGTGCATTCTTTCCAAAAATCGGGACTTTTTAAAAAGGCTGCGGGACACAGGACAAACTGTTAAAAATCAGGACTGTCCCAGCAAAAGCAGGACGTCTGGTCACCCTATTCTAGACCCATCCTGATGCTTGTCACGCTATGGCTGAAGAAGTTTAATTAAAGTTCAGTCCAGTGTAGACTGCGGGGACTGTTCTCTAGGCTACTACTGTTCAGTGGCATCAAATGCGACATAATTAGATGTGGGGAAAGTGAGTAGGGACGCATGCCAGCAACTTGTTTAAGTAAGGTTTATGCAATTCTTAAAGCTCACCAAACCTAAGTTACATTTCAAAGTTTTACACGGTTTGGGGGGGGGATCTCTCACAAGCCCATAATAATTAGGTAGTCTGTGAATAGAAATATACTCTACGAAAATAGTGTCCTATCCTCTCGTAGGCATACAAAATGAAAAATTATCAATCTGTCTATGAAACTTACAGAGGCTTAAGTCAGATAATTGTCAAAAACGATAATAATTTCGATAGGGACGGGGTCTGGTTTTCCTTTTTAAAAAAAGATTGTGCTTCAATAATCCCATGAATAGAATCAAGTCCTAAAGTTTCTTCAGTATTTTTTAAGCACCCTCATTAACTTGAAATACTTACGAAAATGAATGTGCTTATCATAAATAATTCAGCCAATTACATCCAGTTAGTACAATCAACTGTTCAAACAATTATGCTAAGAAATATTCCGTGAAGACTACTCTGTCACTCTAAGACTTGAAAGCAATACATCTGTTTATTTTTATTACCAACTACTCACGTTTGATTAACTCAGACTGTCCCTCCCCAGAGGAAAGGTGGTGTATATTAACGAGCTGAAAGCTTCCAAAGAGCTTTCTGCTCCTGCTTCCTCATCTGGAACACGGTAAAAATACTTTTCCTGGTTACCTCTCAAGGCTATTGTAAGGTGACCGATATGGAGGGTCTCTGGATCTAAACATCACTATGAAAACATCTAGACCATTTAATGTTCTGCTTTGTGCCAAATGGATATAATGTTTTACCACGCTTGGTTTTCTGGATGACTCCTGCCATTTGGATTCCTCTGGTAGTTGTATTTAGAAAAATATTCAAGTATATGCCTTTGAAATGCCTCACGAAAGCAAAATAGAACATTCACACTAGTATAAAAACTCTAAATATATAAAAAGTGTACGCTGACACAAATCACGTGAAAAGGCAGAACTTTAAAGTTCAAAGGTACCTCTCAGGTCCTTTCATCTCTCTCTCTCCCATTTCATGGGTCACAGAAATGAAGCCTAACGTAGGATGTCACTTATCAACAGATTGCACTTACACCTCACCCAGAGTTCTGAACGGAGTCTCTGGTATTAAAATAGATTACATTCCCTATTTAAAAAGCCATAGGATAACAGGAGGACCAAGTAAAGAAATGCCAGATTGAAAAGGTTGGGGTCTTAAAAAACAAACCCAAACAGACAAAACTGTGACTACGTCTAGCGTTTAGATATTGAGATTTGACAACGATCATAGGAAATCATTAACCAGTGCACAGACAACTACATGGTGTTTGTGGGAGGTTCTATTCCACGCTTTTTCATTTTATATAGGAAAGCTGTGGTTCCTACATTAATCAGTATATTTCACATTAATAGAGGCTATGGATAAATCCAAATAGTCAAAACATCTGTACCATTGATGGTGACTGATTATTTACTACATTACCTCTCATTTGATTCTAAAAATCAATCTGTATTCCCTGAGTACAAACTGGCTAGGGAATAAGAGAAAGCAAGCACAGGATTACATAACTGTTCTGGAAACCCAATCTGCGGAAAATTGAGAACTGTCTGTGCTATGTATAGCCAATTCCCTGACAAAGAAATAACTGTTATCTCTGATTAATTTAGGCTCCTGGATGGTCTTCACAGATGGCTAATATCAAGGATTGTAAACACCTGAAATTACAAAATTGTCTCGTAAAAGGTCTGTGGATGAAATAAAAAATCCAACTTGTAAGTGGTTTGCCTGCTCCTTTCCCTGAATATCAACTTAAGGTGTCTGTCTCCAGAGACAGGGTTAGATCTAAATACAGCATCCTACACTAAAGCATTTAGAAAATGTTTACTTGCCATACATTTTGAAAGTAAGAATCAGTACGTGGACTCACCACCCCCCGAGCCATGAGTCACTAGTCTCTTCATCTTTTCTTTTTCAAGTAATCACATTATTTAAGGTTCTTCAGTCACTCAACACCAAAAAGAATAAAGGTTGCACCCAAACAATACTATACCCTGATTAAGAAACGCTGCTATAAAACAAATTGCAGACATTAAAAGATTCTGTTTAACCCAGCGTTCACTCAAGGTAACCATGCCTGGGAGTTAAAATGAAATGATTCTGATTTAGGACCTGATTCTCTCCCAAACAAATAAGGGGGAAAGGAAGTGTCACCCTAACTTTATCCTTCACCACCCTAATTATGGTAACCTGGGACATAATTTTCATACAAAAGTTATCTTCAAATTTGCTTCTGGTCATCAGATATTTAAAAATGGCAAATTAATTTGGGCAAAGCAGGGTGAAAGTTGAAATGATTTTCTTTTTTCATGGAAGGATCTTTCAGGCTTTGACGCTCATATCCACCGTCCCTCGTGACGGGGAGAACAGCATGTAACATTATTCAAATTTACTCCATGGGTTCTTTCTTGTTCTACAGAGTGTATCGAAGGATCTACTTTGGGAAATGCTATTTTAGAACCATAGGGAGTCCACTTCTGTGATACAGCTAAGGCTTTATCTATAACCTAACATTAGACAATCTCCTCCAAAATATTACCTGGAAGGAGGTGTTCTTGGCCAGAGCTACCCACTGCATCTACAGTTTAGACTGAGATGTGGGAACTCTGCACTAGCAACTGGTTCTTTCCTGCTCTGTGCCCAATCCTGGGTGGGGAACCTGTGGCCAACTTCTATTATAAGGGTGGAACAGAGAATCAGTGAAGCTTTTCTCGCCTCCCTTGGTGCTTAAAAAAGAACAATCTTGAAATCAGAAGGTTCCAGACCCCTGCATGAGGCCAGACTGAGTCTCCTGGTATCTTTTTTTTCTACAAACCAATGTACTACCTACCCTCTAAAATTCACAGAATACCCGTGTGAACTGTGATTGCTGGTTCTCCTAAAATCCAACAGGCAGCTGTCAAATGTGGATGTTCATAGATACTGGCAAGAATGAGAAAACAGTCAATAAATCAACTCAAAAGACATGATCGTCATCCATGTGCCTTTGATGGGAACAAGCGTCTAATATCTGAGTGATCAGACCAACGAAGTTTAAATGCCACTAGACTCATTTTCGCTGTTTCTCTGCCTTTAAAATTGTGACGGATTTTGTCACTTGCAATAAGGGATCTGATTAGTTCCCTATTTATAAAATCATCCATTCACAATCAGGCAAATATTAATAAGTGTCCCTGTTTTTCCCAAAAGAGGTATGTACACACTTGGAGAAGCCAAAACCTTGCGTCATCTATAATGCACATCAAACGAACACAGCAGGACTGCTTATCCCTGTACAAAGATCATGAAAAGTATTACCCTTTGGTGCCACCAGATGGCAGTCTTTCAAAGATTAAACCTTAAACGATCTCAAACTATAAGCCCACCCTTCTTCCAAAATTAGTGAACAAGGATTCCTTTCACTTTGATATTAAGAAGACGTATAAGTTACTTAACATCATGTTTTAAAAGGTCTACAAAACAATCTGATGGGACACAATGGACACTCCTGACTCAGAAACTATTTAAGGATAGACAGACTTGTTTGCCACAAACATAAAAGAAACCTGGCCTAACACTCTGATTTGCTTCTTGGTAGAAAATACATTATTTTTGGCAAAAAAGAAACCTGTCAAGGTAATGTCACTTTTCGTTTTCAAGAGCTTAATATTTTCTAGGGTAAGTCAAGATGAATGAGATTATTACCTACAGCAGAAACGTAACAAATGAATAAATACAATTAGATAAATTACACATGATTTAAAAATTAAATACTTTTACTAAAACAATATAATCGATGAGTGACTATCTACCCTGCTATATATAGTGTGCGGGGTTTTTTAATCTTAAAAAAACCTTCACAAAGAAAAACAATATGTTTGGTTTTCAATTAAAAGCACTGGTATGTGAATACATATATGTATACACGTAAATGATACATATATTTATTCAAGAGAGAACTCTTTTAAATATTTAAGGCTTCCCTGCCCTACCAGGTTCAACAGTGAAGGTCACAGCCTATCAAGCTTCGGAAGAGCACAAACGCCCTTCAGGCCACAACAGTATTTTCAAACTGAATGGCTAGCAACCAAGAAAGGGAACCAGAAAAAAAAAAAAAATCAGCACTGAGGATCAAGTAATAAAGCTTACAGTGCCCAGGGAAGGGGGAGGTCAGGAAGGGAGCAGCGTGGAATGAAGACTTGCCACTATGAGATACAACAGGATCCTAACCTCCTAACAGAGGAAATAAAGATCAAGGTAAGAGAGAAGCTCTGTTAAGGGACTGTGGACATCTTGCTTTGTTTCATTTAACTGTCTATCTTACTCTTGGTGAAGGGCAAAAATAACTAGAATCAAAAAGAATTTGAGAAAGGTAGGTTTTCCAGGTAAATTTTAACGTGACAAGAGTCTATGAAAACTGCTGCAATTCCAGATATTCTAAAATTAAGTCACACCTTGAAGGCTCTTTATAAGATAAATATATTATTCAAGGAAATCTCAAGATAAAATCCAGAATGGCCTGCATTTTCTTTTCAGGAACCTGGAAACTTGTTTACTGTGATAGGACCATAGCCCTTCTGTTGAACACTAGGTAGAATTTGTCAAGGACTGTTAGAAGAACTTGGCTTCTGAATTTAGGGGAGGCAAGCTTTTATGATGTCGACATTTACATAGTATCTTATTAACGGTTGTTTTCCTTTTTAATCTTCCTGCTCAAGAAAACTGGGGACATAAACAAACCAAGGCCTACAAAATTTGAGGGAGTAAACTGGATCTACCGAAACAGTAAAGCAAGGAGGTATTGGCAAACCACCCTTCCATTGAGATGGTTTGTCAGTGAGGTGCGTTAATCATCTGAACTCACGATCGTAACTCACCATCTTTACCGATGTTCACCTATTAAAAACACTGCCTGTGTACATTGATCAGAGGCACAACAGAATCACAGATTTCTACAACAAAGTCCAGATTTTTCTTGTTCTCAGTAATTTCACCATCATTGTGTGTCCCCTGGAAATATTGATGTCTCTCAGTTAGTATTACAGATAATGTCATCCAGATGGAAGATAATAATTCAAAGAATATATCTCATTTTCACAGTGCAGTAACAGGAAGACAGAAACCAGGGACAGACCGTCAACGGGCTAACGTAGTGATCAGACTGGCACACATTTCAAAAAAATCCATGGTGTGACTGCCCAGGCGAGGCGACGCAGAGGACACGGTGCTTCCCGTTAGAGAGCCAGTGAGAGAGCTCGACAGTGAATGGCTCTCCGCAGCTGTAGAATCGAAACTCGACCTTGGTCTGTGTAAGCCAGCAGCAGAGCAAGAACGCTGAGGTGTTGAGGAACCGGACCTCTGCTCCACTACCTCGTCTGAAATGAGCCAAAGAGAAGCAAAATTTGCATGGGATGCAGACTTGCCCACGCCCTTCCTAACACGCAGTCAATGCATCTGAGCCAGGGCAACTTAACAGTGAATGTCAGGCTTCTGGTGTTAGGAGCAGCGGTGGCAGCACCTCCCACAACCACAGCAGACATCACTAATCAATCGCTCGCTTACAGAGTCAGAACAAGGCCCCTAAATCCTTCCCAGTGGAGTATTTGTTGCTAATGGTGAAATCAAACTCACAGTCCTACATGTGAAGAAAGCACATCTTTGGCAACTTAGTTTCTCCTAGTGCATCAATAAACAAGTCATTATGACAAAAACAAAAATTACCACTGTGCAGGGGTTCTGAACCTTCTGTGCACAATGGAATTGCCTTGGTTAAGAGAAGGTAATGCCAGAGAAACCTGGTTAAAAATGCAGATTTCTGGTCCCCAGGACCAGTCTCCAGAAATTCTGATTGGGTAGGTCTGGAGTCGTTCCCAGGAATCTGCATTTTAATCAGAACAGAGAACAATTCTGATGAAGGCGGTCTGGGACCCATGTAAACATTCCTACTGGGGACAGTAGTTTCAGAATGAAATTTAGATGGTCTGTTTAAAAATGAAAGAATGAAAATTAGATGGTCTGCAACTGACTGTAACTCAGTTCTACTCCTACTCCAATTCTAGTGCCTGACCCTTGGTTTTATTCTGCTTCTACCCCTCAGGGGCCATTGAACTGAATAATCCTATTTGGTCTACCCAGGCTTCATTCTTGGCACACACCAAGTACTCAGACATTGACTATTTTCTGTGATTCCGCTGGAATCCAACCAGAATCTCAGTAAAGGCCTCTCTGACCACCCAGGCCACCAAGGATGAGAGCAGTTGATGAAGAAGAAAGCTTAAGATACTATATTCTAATCAACAAAATGTGAATGGAGAAATGTTATAAGAAACCTGACAAGTAAGCTACGTTAGGCAAAACTTGCTTCCTTGCTGTTCCTTACCTTTGCTCCACAGCCGATGCTTAAAAGAACTTTTTATGCCAAGGAAGTACTTCTTTGGAAAAGGTGCTGGGTAAGGGTGGCACCTGTGGTTCAGTGAGTGGGACACCAGCACATATACCGAGGGTGGCAGGTTCAAACCTGGCCCCGGCCAAAACTGCAACAAAAAATAGCCGGGTGTTGTGGTGGGCACCTGTAGTCCCAGCTATGCAGGAGGCTGAGGCAAGAAAATCGCCTAAGCCTAGGAGTTGAAGATTACTGTGAGCTGTGATGCCACCGCACTCTACCAAGGGATATAAAGTGAGAGTCTGTCTCTAAAAAATAAAATAAAATAAAAAAGAAAAGGTGCTAGGTAAGAGATGGTCCATGTGCATTTCATCCTTTCCATTTCACCTATATTCTGGTTAAGTCTAAATTACTTAACAACCAGCACAGGAGACCTGCCCACTGCGCCTTTAAGAAGACTTTAACATCTGGTCGACCCCTGTGAAGTTTTCTCTTCACAGAGCTCACACCTGCTAAGCTTCCTTACCATCAATGCTTTTAAAGTCCAAAAGGTAGCTCCTGTTGTCAACCAGGTAAAGTTGTAAGCTCATTTTCACATAGTTCCCAGTCACTGGATTTTTTCTTCTCACACGAAGATGGTATGCATTCACTACCTAAAATGGGAAATCAACAAAAACAACAACCGATGAAACGTCTCCCTTCTTATTGTGAAGAATGTCAAAAACTAAGGATGGTTAGGGCGCTGGACCCATGTACCAGAAGTGGCGGGTTAAAACCCAGCCCCCGGCCAAAAAAAAAAAAAAAAAAAACAAAGGATTGATAGGATCTGGAGCAGGGAGGAAATTTCTGAATGACTTTTTAAAGATATATTATAGGTAGTTTACTTTTAGCATTTATTTAATACCCTCTAGCAGTAATGTTTGTGTACAGTAATTATAATTTAAAGGGAAAACGATTTGAATGAATTTAGGGTACTGAGAAAAAATAAAACGTGAACTTCGAGGCTATCCAGACTGTAGCCTTTATTCCAGATATGCGTCCTCTGTAACAACCCAGTGGTAACACTGGCTGCCCCGTCCCTGCTTAAATACTTGGACCGATAAATACGGAGTGGATGGAATAAAAGGGAGTGAGCATGGGAATGGTCTGCATCAGGTACAGTCACAAAACAGAAATACCACAAAACCCAGGAGGAAAAAAGAGAAAAAACAGCTACAGCTCAGATAAAGAAGATTCTGAGCTTTCAAAACATCTAAGAAATTATTTTCAAAACTTTTTTCAGCACAGATTTTTAAAGATTTTTGACCTTTTTTTTTTTTAAACTAAAAACTGCTTCAAAAATGAGATATCTGGGCCAGCAGAGGTGGCTGGCACCTGTAACCCTAGCACTCAGGGAGGCCGAGGCGGGTGGATTGCCTGAGCTCATGAGTTCAAGACCAGCCTGAGCAAGAATGAGACCCTGTCTCTACTAAAAATGGAAAACTGAGGCAAGAGGATCACTTGAACCCAAGAGTTTGTGGTTGCCGTTGCCATGAGCTATGACACCAAGGCACTCTACCCAGGGCAACAAAGTGAGACTGTCTCAAAAAAAAAAAAAAAAAATGAGAGAACTGTTTTTTAGGTGGTTTTAAGAAAATACTCATTTATTCATTTTGTGTACAAATAATGAAATGAGAATGATTGATTTAGTCAAGCCTGTCAAAGGAATACTTACATGATAAGTTCAAACATTTCTTTGCCCTTTAAAAAAAAGTTAGCAATCCACAAGAAAAGAACAAGAGTGAAAGGAATATCTCTGAAAGGAAAAAGTGCTCCCCATATATTCAAATAGAGCATGAAATGCAATGGAACAATAATGTTTTTAAAAAAGCAAAATGTGGGCTGAAAAGTACTAAAAGCACTAACCAATTAAGACAAAATTTCCCAACTTGGAGCAAAGTATTTGTTTACTGAATAATCTGTTTTGACCACTAGCTGTTATAGCCATCCACTTCTGCTCTCCCAAGAAATTAAACAAAATCAAGTCTCCATTAAAGAAGAAAGTAAAAACATACTATCTTGGAAGCCTCACGACTTTTTATTGCTATGATGCATACTGCAACAGGTAGGCTATCTTCTCAAATGATTTCAAGTTGATTATTTGTTGTTTCTTGACCAAGAATATTGTTTTATTATTCAAAACATGTAGGTCTCAGCATCAACGGCTCCTCATTCCAATACAGAGATTATTTGTTTTATTTCATTTGAATGCATATGGTATGTTACTGGAAAGAATGGTGTTTGACAGCCCAAAGAAAGGCCAACAAATTTATATCTAAGTGAAAAACAACTTTTCTTGACCTCAATATTCACCCCAGCAGCTCAGAGCAGCTTACATGGAAAAACGGCTTCTACATCTGATCTGAATACACGACAATTTCCCACCTTCCATTCAAAATCCAGCTGCTTCATAGCGCGGTAAACTTCAGCCATGATGTCATAGGGTTTGCTCTGGCTTCGGATTCCAAGATGCCACTTGGCTTTCTTCACAGCCAAAGGCTTGGGCTTGGTGGTATTGAGCGCGTCCAGGGGACACTTTGCCTTAGGGCTGTCTGCTATCAGGGGTGGCATCCTTTCCGGGTGAGGCTTCAGGCCCGGGGGAATGTGCATGGCGCTGTCATCCATGAAGGAGCCAGTCGGGGGGCTGGAGGCGAGGTAGAACTCACTGGCCTGGTTCATGATCCTCCGGTTGTCGATGATGAGGTGGTAAGCCACTGCGAGCTGGTCCTGAGGGTCGCCACTGTACAAACTGTTCATCACTTCGGATTCCGTGCACTCAAATTTTTCACACACTTCTCTCACAGCCTCGTCGTCGATGATGTTAGCATCGTAGGAGGGGTCTTCAGGAAACAAATAAGTGGGCAGATCTTGTTTAAACCATTCGTGTTCTCTAGGAGAAACACCGAGACACACTACTGTGAGAACATACTTCAGCAAGTCCCAGATCACGTAGACACAGAGTAATACAACGCAACGGAGGCAGAAAGACCTTGTCGCTGCCACTTACTAGCTGGGCACCTCTGGGCAAGGAAATTAACCCTTACCCTTGGAAAATTATGGTTACGAAGACTTGAGCACTTAGCTGACATTTTCTCAAAAAGGAACCAAGTGAGTCTGTCACAGCAAGGAAAACAGCTACAGCTATTTGTTGTGGATAAAATGCAAACTTTCAAGCAAAAATGCTAAATTCTCTATAATTCGTATCTACCTCCAGCTTTCCAATACCTACGATTTTGTGATGCTTAGTGTTCATAATATGATTTTTTTTGACAGTGTATAATGAAAGGTGTCACCATTTAGAAACAGTGCATAGATCAATAACCCAATATTTTCTAAATGACCAATACATGGTGTTACAGAATCACACATGCATAAAAGAGCCATTCAAAATACAAGACAGACCAGTTAATTATAATGTAATAAAGTACAACAATTCATTGATATATTTTCTGATTTGATACTGCAACTAACATGTTAGGCTTTGGCTTAGTATCAAAGAAGAATACTACTGTTATCTAAAAGGGTATTAAAATACTCTTTTTTCCCCCCCAACCACTTATCTGAGTGAGGTCAGAGTTTATATACTGCAACTTATAGAAAATATTGTAAGACTGAATGAAGATGTGAGAACTTAAGTGTCCTTGATTAAGCCAGATATTAAAGAGATTTGCAAAAATGTAACATAATGTCTTCTCACCATTTTTTTTTGTTTTAAAAAAATGGGCTTATTAATAGTAAGTGAATTAGTATCTTCTTAATTTCTCAGTTTTACTCTTAATATGGTAAATATTGATAGGTATAAGTTACCTTTGAAAATCCTCTTTGAGGTCCCCAAGAATTTGAGGTAGAAGATATCAAAACCAGAAAGTGTGAGAACCGCTCTCCCAGGTCTCATCTTTCCCACCCGTCTGGGCCTCTCCCCCTGACGCTCCCATTGCTCTCTATAACATGAGCCTTTTCTTCTAATACACATTACCACTTCAAGATTGTTAAGCATCACCACCTGCAGAAGTAAGTACCCCCCCCCCAAGCTAAAATTCAGATCAAGATAGATTCTGACTAAATGTTTCTATGCACTGATTAATTCACTTGTTTTGTGTGTTTGTTTGTTTTTCGTTTGTGCCTGGGGCCGAGTTTGAACCCGCCACCTCTGGTATAGGGGGCCGGTGCCCTACTCCTTTGAGCCACAGGTGCCGCCCCAATTCACTTGTGGCGATTTACTGAGGACACAGTTACTGAGGGCATAGTATGGACAAAAAGATACACTCCTCCCCACAGAGGTTATATTCTAGCTGAATACACATTAAAAACAGCTACAAGTATACAGATATGAGAATCTTGTGATAAAGATCATATTAGAAAAGCACAGCACGTAATTCAGAACGTGAGGCCGGGGATTAGGGGAGCCATTCGGAGTAATATTTAAGCAGATGCCAACTAGAGTGATCAGGGGTCAGCTAAGCAAGGAATCGGGGAACAGGTATTCCCAGTATTGGCCGAGACCTTGAGACAAGGAAGAGTTCTGCTGCCGCTGATGAACATGACTGAAGGATTTTAAACAGTCGGGGTGACATAATGTAATTTGCGTTCTATGAAGATTATTCTGCTTGTGGTACAAAAATCGAACTGTCAAGATAAAGATGCTGCTGGCAGGTGTGACAGTCCGAGTGAGAAAGGAGGGCGTGCCCGGCCCTGAAGACATCTACGGAGGTGAAACTCCTACAGCTGCTGGTTCAGCTGTCACGACACTGGGCTACCGGTGCTGACCTTCTGTTAAGCTTCCCCGCTACACTGAGAGCTCCCTGAAACAAGGACTGGATCTTCCTTAGCTCTACCCTGCCCGTCAGTCCAGAGTAAATGCTCAACAAACACTCAATAAATACATGATGAATAGACACGTGAAGTGTGAAGACAAAAATTAGTGTTTACCTGCTATATCATTATTGTAAGCATTATGCTCCATTTAAGTTGAATAATAAAAACTGAGATAGTTTTTCAAAAGAAGTAACAGAAGACAGAACATAATATTACGTGTGTAACATTTTTAAAATATCAATGACAAATAGGAAACTTGAGCACTTTCAGAATGAACTCCCAAATTCCACTCGTCTGTAAAACAATGAAATACTAGCAAAGTGTGCAACTTTTTCAGAGCTATGGAAAGGAGACAAAGCCTGCAACAATCGGAGAAGGGTTTATTCAAGAAAAATGGCTAAATCTCAGTAGGAAAGGTGAGATGTGTAGCTTTTTAAGCTGCCCTATATCCATCCCCCCTTTTCCAGCTCCAAAGTACCTTTTAAAACCAACAGCCTCGGCTCAGCGCCTATAGCTCAACCGGCTAAGGCGCCAGCCACGTACACCTAAGGTGGTGGGTTCGAATCCCCAGCCCGGACCCGCCAAACAACAATGACGGCTGCAACCAAAAAATAGCCGGGCGTTGTGGCAGGCGCCTGTGGTCCCAGTACTTGGGAGGCAGAGGCAGGAGACTCGCTTGAGCCCAGGAGTTGGAGGTTGCTGTGAGCTGTGATGCCACGGCACTCTGCCCAGGGGGAACAGCTTGAGGCTCTGTCTCAAAAAAAAAAAAAAAAAAAAAAAACAGCCTCATAACCACATACTGAGCAAACAAGCAGTGTAACAACCATCACAGTGCCAGGGGAAGAACAGAGGAGCAGAACAGGTTTGCAGGTCCCGAGAGAATGCTATTATTGGCCATGTCGCTCTAGCATTTGCCTGGAAACCTCTACTAACGGGCCTCGTCTTCCTGGACCTCACTCAGAGCTCACTCACTGAAAACAGTCTTTTTCCTTAGGGCATTTGTCAAACAAAACTGCAAAATAATAAAATCAATGACAATAGTCTAACATCTCAACTGTCTGAAAAGGCAATGAAAATTAGGTAAACAAGCTGACCAAAAAAATTAGAGAAAAATTAGGAAATAAGAGTTTCAAAGGGGTCTCTGAAAAGCTCTGATATAGTCTGTGCTTGCCAAGCAGTTGGCAGAGGTCACAGAAACAACTACCTTAGCCATCGTTGACTCTAAGAGTCAGAGATCTCAAGAGTCACGCTGGCTTATGACAAGAAGGGGGAGGGTTCCGGAAAGTTGACAAGAAAAGGTGTTTGTGACTAAAGATGAAAATCCTCTCAGAAACACGACAGGGTAAGCAGAAGGCACTGAATCATCTTGCCACACGTACGTGACAGAAAGGTCACATTTGCAGTAGCATCAGCAAGAGCACATTCCAAAGTTTCTCCCACAACAAAAAATCATTCACAGTCAACCCACTAGCAGCTACTGAATTCAAAACCTTGGCAAAACTTTGTGCTTGATGACATCAATCATATGTAAAGTACATAAATCTCACCCTGCTTTCTGAAATTTGTTCAGATATTTTCTGAGCACAGACTATAGGCCCACGCCGCCCAGCAGTGTATACGGATTCATAATTGTAGTCCTAATTTGAGAGGGAAAAGACACACTGACAAGTAACTAGATACAGGACGGGAACGAATAAAAGCACAGACAAAACGTTGATGTGGTAGCCACGGATGCCCCTAATGCTGCCGGGAAAGCAGAAACTTTCCCAAGGGAGGTGGCAAGTGAGCGGAACTTCAAAGGACAAATGGAAGTTTAAAAGCAGAAAGAACTTCAAGGCAAAGAGAAAAATATAAACGAAGACACGAAGGCATAAAATCTATGTTATGCTTGAGGAATAAGGACAAGTTCAGTGTGGCCGAAGCACTGGTGTAAAGGATGAGGTGGTGAAGGCAGGAGATGGACCTCAGCAGTGAGCAGAGCTTGCCTCCAAAGATGACTTGGCTAAGACAAAAAGTCTGGGCAGCCATCTAAAGTATGTGAAAGTCATAACATCAGCTTTATGTGATAAGGCCAGGAAAAGACACTTAGGACGTGCCACGAAGTCTAGCAGAAAGCAAACTTTCAATTAGCATCTCTGCTATGCTATGAGAGAACGTTCAGAGCAGGGGCAGAAAGCATCATCACCGTATGTCTTTGATAGTTGATCGTTTCAGAGGGTCAACCTGCAGCATATGCATCAGGAGAGTGGCCACAGAACGATTGAGATATTCTGGGATATAGAAAACCCCCCCTCGGATCTTCTTAAACAACGTCGGTACGTGCTCATCGTCAAACGGGAGGGTGCCGCAGAGCAGAGCGTACAAGATCACGCCGCAGCTCCAGATGTCAACTTCGGGGCCGGCGTACAATCTGCAAAAGAAGACGACACCGTAACACGAGATGCGTGTGTCACACTGTCCCCTGTCTGTGCCCTGCTTCTGTGTCCACGTGGAGAATAAAACAGACTCGGTGTGTATTGATTTCCAAGGTCTTTTATGAAGTCCATGGCCATGCACCAAGTCAAAGGTTGTGGCCCAAAGAGAACAATTAGTCCAACCAATGACTATTCAAGTTTGGCAAATGCACGGGTGCTTCCGTTTCTTACAAACTCATTCAACTGTAACTTACTAATTTAAAAATTTTGTATTTTGTGTGGTTGATGTTTGAGAGAAATATCAAAGGACATAGCCATAAATTTGAAAAAATAACACTACAGTGATAGGATAAATCTTTTTCCCATAAAAGTATTACAAGAAAGGCTCGGCGCCTGTGGCTCGAGTGGCTAAGGTGCCAGCCACATACACCTAAGGTGGCGGGTTCAAATCCGGCCCAGGCCCACCAAAACAACAATGAAGGCGGCAACCAAAAAAAATAACTGGGCATTGTGGCGGGTGCCTGTGGTCCCAGCTACTAGGGAGGCTGAGGCAGAAGACTCGCTTGAGCCCAGGAGTTGGAGGTTGCTGTGAGCTGTGATGCCACAGCACTCCACCTAGGGAGATAGCTTGAGGCTCTGTCTCAAAAAAAAAAAAAACTATTACAAGAAAGAAAATGCACGTAGAATAGAATTTTGATCCTTGGCACGCCTATTTTAGAGAATACTGGAAACCTGTAAGTTCCTAACTGACCCTGTGTGAACAGTACTGACCCTGCATCACATTATCCTGAGAACCTACACATACTCCTTCCAGACTAATCATCTGCTAGCTCACAGGACTGAGATAAGCTTTGATGCAGATAACCTACACCTGGAACATTATTCTTTTTTTCTCTCTCACCTTCTGGAGTATTAAAATTCCCAGTAGCACATTCCCAACTTTAAACTGGTCTGGGGTAGCAAAGTAAAACTCTACACTTGCAGGGTGAAGAACATAATCTATTTCTGCCTCAATTGCCACCTGTCCTTTACATCACCTGCTGTACTGTCCAAACTCCTTGCATGGACTGAATGTTTATGTCCCCCCAGAATTCAGATGTTGAAATCCTTCCTCCAGGATAATGGTAATAGGAGGTGAGGGCTTTGGGGATTAGTGCCCTCTATAACAAAGACCCCAGAAAGCTCCTCAGCCCTTCCACGGTGTGAGGTTACTGTGAAAATACAATACTATATGAGGAAGCAGACCCCGCCGGACACCAAATCTCTCAGCACCTTGCTCCTGGACTTACCGGTCTCCAGAGACTGTGACAAATAAATTCACGTTGCTGATAAGACACCCAGTTTATGGTATTTTTCTAAGGGCAGCCCAAAGGAACTAAGAAACTCCTACACCTGCCCTGGGCAGTAATACATTTTCAACATTTTCTATCATAGAGTTCTTTTGACTTTGTAAATCACATGAGTGACATTGGTCACTGCAGAAAGACTCGAGGTTACTAATCTGTGTAAACATTTTTTTACGATGGACCAATGAATTCGTGACATGAATAACTGCACAATCACTGCTTGTATAGTTAAATGTCCTGAAACAGCAATACTGTCCCCCCAAAATCTCATTCTGCCAAAGATGAAATCTAAAACAATACTCTATAAGATATGTAAAGTATTATTTATTAAAGTATGATGTCTGATAAATAAATTACACTAGCTTAATTTTAGCAAATGCTTACTCTTTACCTACATTTTTCTGAAACGAAAGATATATGAAATCAAGATCTAGTTCAGTTCTTTCTTAACAGAAAAAAAGTCATAAACACATTTGTAACAACAGCTAAATGAAACATTTAAAAAAAATTAATATAACCACCAAAGTAATAAAAAAAAATGAACAATCTGTTTTTCTTTTTTTTTGAGACAGTTTCACTGTCACCCTGGATAGAATGCCCTGGCATCATAGCTCACAGCAACCTCAAACTCTTGAGCTCAAGCAGTCCTCTTGCCTCAGCCTCCTGAGTAGCTGGGACTACCGGTGTCCGCCACAATGCCTGGCTAGTTTTCCCATTTTTAGTAGAAACAGAGTCTCACGCTTGCTGAGGCTGGTCTCGAACTCTTGCCTCAGCCTCCCAGAATGCTGGGATTATAGACCTGAGCCACTACATCCTGCTCAACCAATCTGTTTCTACCACGTTATAAATCTTGCCTTCTAAAGACAACATACTGTAATTAAGTCTTATCAGAATGAAGGCAAGAGGACAAATCCTCCCTGTCCTCTGATATAGAATTACCTGCCTGAGATGACTTCAGGGGCCGCATAATTTGGAGAGCCACAGCTCGTTCGTAGAAATTCCCCATCTGACATCATATTAGATAGTCCTGAAAATAAAAGTAATGTTTACCTATTGCTAGACATTTTTTTACAGCAGACATACATAAAAATATGAGTAAAACCTCAAGTCTTTAATGTTCCATAGTATGACCAAAAAGTTACAGCATATACTGTGTATGATTGGAATAATATTTCCTTTCTAAATAAAAATGTTGATTCACTTTACAAATGAGGTTTTCGAGACTACTACATTTTTATACTAAGTTTTCAAAAGCCTTTTTGAAAATTCTGTCATTAGAAATCAGACAGGACCTAATTCATAAACAGACTACGTTTTAATTCAACATAGGAAAAAATTATCGACTGAATAAAACGTCTACTTGAACTAGACAAACTACTTTCCTGGTTTTTAGCTTGAAGATAAAATACAGACAAAAATTTTAAACAAGTGACACTAAACGTTGGCATCTTCTCTCACTCTGTGTCACCCAGCATTTTTCGGCCTGTTTTATCTCATGGCACATTGGAAGCTATAGGGTAAACTTCTGCGCCACACTTAAATTATGTTGATCAAAAAAAAAAATAAAAGAAATAAAATAAAATAAAAAAGAACATACTTATTGTGCTTTGCACTTCTTTTGAAAATAATGTAATTAATGATCTTTAAAAATTCTGGCAGCACACCTGAGATTCTCTCACAGCACACAGTTGGAAATCACTGCTATCATCTCCCACTTTCTAATCTTCCTCTTGAAAACTCTTCTTTAAGATCCTTTCCAGGCATGTTAATCCCACAAAGTGTGTGGCACTTGAAGATCACATTTTACCTTTTACCTCTAACAAAAATCGCGATTCTCTAATCAGGTCGTTAGACGTCACCCAAAGACTCACTGGCCTTGGATCAATTCAGAAGGGCTGTAAAACTTTCTCCAAATTTTCATGTAACTCTGTTTGCATTCTTCATGCAAAGTGGGGCATACTTTTATCAGATTTTCAAAGGCGCTTGGGACTTCTCTCCTCCCCTTCCAAAAAGAGCCCAAAACATTTACGCATCATTTCCTTACAAGGTCAGGCAGTGGAAAGGTTTACCTTAGTAACAGCCCCCTTACTTGTCTAAAGGTATCTGCAATTGTTTAAGTGCAACTGAATGAACAAAACAAGCTATTGAGGACACATCAACTGATCTCTTATTGGTACGGGATTTACAAAGTTGAAATGTCAAAGGCAGCTAGTACGTTTCTGATCAACCCTGGAGTTACACACCAAAATCAGCTATCTTGGCATTCATGTGGGCGTCCAAGAGCACGTTCTCCGGTTTCAGGTCTCGGTGAACCACCATGTGTCTGTGGCAGTAATCCACAGCGGACAGGATCTGCTGGAAGAGCCGCCGGGCTTCTATCTCCTCAACCTACCAAGCAGGAAAGGAACTGCATTAAGAGTGTATGGGATATCTATTTAGCACAAATTTTTATTTCACGATTAGATTACATATAACTAAACAGGCTAAAATTTCTGTTCAAATTCTCAACAAACCAGAAAAAACCAAAACTTGTCAAAGCTCAATATGTCAACAGACCAGTGGGAAGGTTTTTAATCTGTCAGTGGGCAGAAGCATTTAAATTTTTCTCTCTCTTGGCTCGG